TTTGGAGAATCTCTATACTGCTTTCAGAGTGGTTGCACCAATTGGCATTCCCACTAATAGTGTAAGAAGGTTCCAATTTCTCCTTATTCTCACCAACATTTGTTATTTCTTGTCTTTTAGATGGTGGCCATTTTAACTGGTGTGAGGTGATATCTCATTGTGGTTTTGATTTGCATTTCCCTGATGATTAACAATGTGGACCATCTTTTCATGTATGTGCCTGTTGGTCATTTGTATTTCTTCTTTGGAGAAATGTCTGTTCAACTCCACCCATTTTTTAATTGAGTTATTTGTGTTTTGAGTGTTGAGGTGTTTGAGTTCTTTATATAGTTTGAATATTAACTCCTTATCAGATAAGACAGTCCTGAATATATTTTCCCATATAGTAGGATGCCTTTTTGTTTTGCTGATGGTGCCCTTTGCTATATAGAAGCTTTTTAGTTTGATGCAGTCCCACTTGTTCATTTTTTATTTTGTTGTTCTTGTCTCAGGAGAAGTGCCCAGGAAAAAATTGTTCAAGAGAATTTAGCCTATGTTTTCTTGTAAGAGTTTTATAGTTTCATGACTTACATTCAGGTCTTTGATCCATTTGGAGTTTACTTTTCAGTATGTAGTTAGACAATAATCCAGTTTCATTCTCTTGCATGCAGCTGTCCAGTTTTCCTAACAACAGTTGTTGAAGAGGCTATCTTTTCCACATTGTATATTCATGGGTCCTTTATCATATATTAATTTACCATATATGTGTGGGGTAATATCTGGGTTCTCTATTCCATTCCATTGATCTATGGGTCTATTCTTGTGCCAGTACCAAACTGTTTTGATTACTGTATATTTGTAGTAGAACTTGAAGCCAGAGAGTGTAATCCCCCCAACTTTGTTCTTCTCTCTTAGGATTTCTATGCCTACTCAGGGTCTTTTGTGGTTCTATGGGAATTTTAGAACTATTTGTTCCAGTTCGTTGAACAATGCTGTTGGTATTTTGGCAGGGATTGCATTGAATCTGTAAACTGCTTTAAGCAGGATGGCCATTTTGACAATATTAATTCTTTCTATCCATGAGCACAGGATAGATTTCCATTTATTGGTATCTTCTTTAATTTATCTTATGAGTGTCTTGTAGTTTTAGGAGTATAGGTCTTTCACCTCCTTGGTTAGCTTTATTCCTAAGTACTTTATTCTTTTGTATCCATTGTAAATAGACTTGTTTTCCTGACTTTTCTTTCTTCTAGTTTGTTAGTATTTAGGAATGCAACAGATTTCTGTGTATTAATTTTGTATCCTGCAACTTTTGTATTCAGTATTAGTTCTGATAGTTTTTGGTGGAGTCTTTAAGGGTTTTATATGTATAATATATCATGTCATCTGCAAATAGTGACAGTTTAACTTCTTCCTTATCAATTTGGATGCACTTTATGTCTTTGTTTTGTCATCTTAGGGAGATTGTATGTGCAAAATACATTTGATAATAATGTGAATTCTTTTAAGCTCTTCTGTGACCATCTGGGGAACTAGTTTTAGGGATAAACACAACAGAAATATTTAGAGAAAGGACATTACAAAGGAAAAAGGCAACATAGTGATTCTTTGTGACATTCCTTTATAGTAGAAAAATCATGAAATCTTCGGTGCATAGCACAGTGATAATACTGAATAACCTTAATCACTTTATCATTATTCCCAGCAGTGATCTTGAGCTCCAATTCTAAGGGCAGAGCTTTCTGTAAGCATCTAACATGAAGATGTAAGTCAGAATTTTTGAAGAAATAGTTTCTTCACATGAAGTATACTTGATAATAACATTTTAATGTAATATTGACATTTCTGGTTTTTAACTCTGTTGGGCAGAATCTTGATGGAAAAAAAAAATCACTTGTGACAGCTTCAGCATGAGTGTCTGATATGGCAATTTAACCCAGTTTTATCCTATATCAGATGTATTCCATCCAAAAGCAACTAAGGTGTCCTTCATGTTTTACAGAAATGAGCAATTTCTCATAACAGGTAATACTAAAATTGTCTTAAAATATTTAACTACATGGAGTGAATATTATAGGAAATATTGGTGGTTTATTTTCAGAGGTTTCAGTAAAAATTAAAATATAACATAATTACACAATATATTATATATGTCTTCAGACTATTAATTTAATCTATTTGGACTGAGTTGGTCTGCTTTGGTCAAACAACTGAGAAGTTGAACCAAATGATGACATTTGTGATCCATGTGACATTTATAGTTGAACAGTGAACTATCTACATCTTGCTATTCAGAGTATAGTTCCCGGACCATCAGTATCAGAACTGCCTTGGGTTTCATTAGAAACACAGAATCTCTGCACCCCAGCTCTAGATCTTCTGAATCAGCATTTGCATTTTAACAAGATCCCTAGATGATTAGAGCATTAACTACCTCAGAGGATGTCAGCTTTGGCTACACAGTAGAATCACTTAAGGTGCTTTTATAATGTTTGGTTCCCAGGCCTTACTCTAGACCAATTAAATCAGTCCTTTAAGGTCAGGACCAAAGCATGGGTGTTTTGAAATCCTCATTAAGTGATACTAATGTACTACCAGATATGAGAACCATCAGTTACACAATTCCCAAACAGTCTCTAAATCTAGTATATGCTGAAAGGGCATAAAAGAAAAAGGAAGTCAAACCAATTACTTTGTATTTGGTACCACTCTATAAATGATTGATTTTTTTAACTGTTAATAAGTTTGCTTAACTACTGCGTGAACACTGCCTATTATGTCTCAGCCTTCCCAGAAGTGTATTCCTTTGTAAATCAAGAAGGTGAACACTTTGCTATGCAAAATAATTAAAAGGAGAGTTTAGGTTTGTTTTCCAACCTTCTTATTCTCTAGTCTGACAGATCTACATAATGAAGATCAGGCACTGTCCACATTCAAACCACTCCACCTTTGGATTTCTCATCTTCTTCTCCATGCACTCAATGCTCAGTTTTTATCTCAAACATTCCCTGTCACTCTAGGCCAACTGGATTCCCCTCCCCTTCTGAATTCCCATGCTGTCTACTGCTTTTATTATGCATTCTCATTTTATGATCACCATTATTTGATGAAATAAAATTACCTGTTGTTTAATTCTACATATAATCTCAAGCATTAGCAATCTATTTTAAAAGCTTATGCAAGAATAAGGAAGGAAAAAAGAAGTCACGGCATAGTACTCATGGCAGTCATTATTATCCTATTTTATCGATGAAGATATGAGTATCAGGCAAGGTGACAAGCTATTAAGTTTCAATACTGAGCATGTTCTTCCCAAGACCATCTAACTCAAAGTACAGAGGAAGTTTGGTTTGCTTTTGATTGTTTGTATGTGTGCATGTTTCTAATAACTTATAGTACTTTAATTATAGTTTTGGGGCAGAGTAAGAATATGAACACACTAAAACACACTGATAAAAGACTCATTCTCAAAATTGATGTCCACTTTTATCAATGATTATTTTTTAATGTTTACTTTCATTTTTTTATTGAAACATAGTTGATATGCAATATATTGTTTTCAGACATACAACATGGTGACTCAATAATTATATACACTACTAATGCTCACATGGCAAGTGTAGTTACCGTCCTTGTTACTCCAAGATATTACAATATTACTAGTTATGTTCTCTATGCTGTACTTCCATTCCTGTGACTAATTTATGTTTAATTTGAAATTTGCACTTTTTATCCACTTTATTTCTTTTTCACACTAATTCGGTTTCTTTTGTCAGACAATTATCAAAGCTTGATCATTAGGGGCAAGGGGAGGTGGTCATATTATACTTATTTCTTTAAAATTATTTTTTTATTACACAAATATCCTGCATAACCTTTTCATGTAAAAAACTAGAACATTAGAGATAAGGATAAAATCTCTAACACCCCAACACACCTTGCACTCCACTTAATCAAAGTACCTTTCTCGACTCCTCAAAAGTTATCATTTTTATCTGTTCACCCTCTTTAGGATATTTTTTACTATATTTACATATATGTATGTATTATATTATAATACATTTTATAAGAGCAATTTTTGGCTTTATCATCGAAAACATATGACTCTTGGGAATTAAGAGTTTTATTTGTTTGTCTAAAGTAGAAGACCTGGGAAGGATATCTAAAATGAGAGAATTAAGATCCAAAATTTTATCTCAAACCTGTGGTATAATATCCCAAACCTAGAAAGAGAAAAGTTTACCTAGCATAAATATTAAAACCCTGCATAAAGTGCTAATAACAAATGAAAATTCTGATTTGACATTATTTTACATGAAAAAGACCTAGAGGTTTATCACAGACTCAAAGTTTAATAAACATTCTAATATTTAGAAAAGTCAGTATTTCTCATTTCTAAAGTAAAATTCCCTTAAAAAAATCATAAATTAGTCCAGAATATCAATTTTAGAAAGATAGCACTAGATTGTCTAAATGTGTGTAATAAAGTGAACAAGTAATTTTAAAATGTGGTATTTTTGTGACCGAATATATTCTTCATATTTGTTTTTCTTTTTCACAAAAAAAGTAATGCCAGGTAAAAGAAAACTCTCTTGCTTCTCTGTGTCAAATCCTCTAGGTTTTATTCAGCAGCTTCAGACCAATAATAGGTGTTTATCTAGTAGTGTGTGCTGCTCCTGATAGAGTATCTCATTGTAATTCTCTCCTCCAGTTCTCCTTCCCCAAGGAAATATCTATATCTCAGATCTGTCTAATTAACCAGTATGTGAAGAATAGAAAATTGTGAGACAATCCCTATGCCCATAGTTGCTGGGCTTTAAAAAGCTCAATAAACTTTCTATCTACATTTTCTTGTTTACACTGTGGAGCAAAATGGATCAAACAAGCAAAGATTTGTGGCAACAGAGATGTGCCTTTGTACAATATAACACACACTGTGTATCAAAGAAAAATTGTGCCACTTCTCCAAAGCTGACATTGGAATGACATTGTAATCCTGACCATCTGTCTTTCTCCTCTAGATGTCGATGAATGTTCAGTGGTGAATGGAGGCTGCCAGCAGCGCTGTATTAACACTCTGGGCACCTTCCACTGTGAATGTGATACGGGATCCAGACTCCATGCTGATGAACGCACCTGCATAAGTGAGTAAATATTAGAACCAGCTTGAAGTCGTTTTCAATGAAAATCGACCTGCACATGTAGCGGCAGGAAGGAAAGGCTTTTCTATTGTAAAAATATCTATAGAAGCTGACAGTTTTCAAGTATAATTCTCTCTTTTAGAATAAAAAATATGTTTTGTTATTAAAAGACAAAAAGACAAAAAAGATGGGGAAGAAAATATAGACATTAACATTCACAAGTAGAACTCGAAATCCAATGCATGAAAACAAATGCACGAATATTTCCACAACATATAATTTCTGCCAGATGCAGTACAGTATAAATTTGTTAGTTACTTTATGCAATATTACAGCACAAAGCTACAATAAAGAGAGGACGCTGGGCTGTTAAAATCATTAGCTATGGTATTCCCTCACTTCAGACCATAAACAGAATTGGACTTAATGATTATAGCTGTAAAAATTATACCATATTAGATACTAAGCAGTTTAAGGTTGCTCAAGAACAGTTAAAACAACACACATTAAATCTGAGGTCACCATATATTTATTGCACATCAAAATGTTCTTAGATAACAGTTTTGGGTGAAAAGTTTAATATTTTAAATCTTCTTTAAGTCTTTTTGAATTTTATAAATTTATTAAAATGAATATGCACATAAAAAATAGAAAAACTTTTAAAATTCTGTGCTCCCTGTATGACTTACAAATGCTCATTTTTTTTGTTTTAACTGAAGTAATTTACATAAAAATGTTTTTTCATTGAATGATGATCCCCAGATAGCATCAAGCAGATTCTGATTTCATCTCCAGGTCCCTTTTAAAAATATTTACCATATTAAAAGAGTTAGCACCTTGGACAGCACAATTTAATTGCTGGTTTAATTTGTACAAAGCTTGTTAACTAGTCCATCCACTCAAAATTATTAGTATTTTATAATTATTCTATAATTTTGAAACTTGGAGTAGAAATGAGCCAATTTTACCTAGTGTCATCACATATACTCCCTCTTTCTTTTTCTGACCATATCTGATAGGAAATGGGGGAAGGCAGAGGGGAACAGGTAAACAGGTGTTGGTCATAGGTCTGATTTTGATGTGAGAAAATGGAGACTCTAGGAGCAAAAAAAGGACTTTTTCCAAAGTTAAGTGAAGATACACAGAGAAGTCATAGCCTAGCATGGAGGGAACTCAATGTCCTAGTGACCACCTGTAGAGCAAGCTCAAGCAGTGGGGCAGGAGCACATGCCTATTTATGTGGTCAAAGAACCCCTTCTTTCTGCACAATTACTGGTCATTGCAACAAGGATTATTGTCCTCTCCCTATACCAACCTGTAAGATCTTCAGCAGCTCACAACCTCAAACAGCTCCTATAACTTCTCTCAAATGCAAAATTTAGAAGCAGTAGGATTATTGATATATGCAAATGAGACATTTATCAGTAAAGGTTGAGCTGGTGAATTTTTATGTCTGGTATAAAAATATTTTGCCAAGTAGTGATTTATATAAATCTATGATATCCGGTTATGATAAGGTAAAATAAACACACTAATAACCAAGTAAGTCATATTTCCAGGTATAATTAATTTTCTAAACACTGGCAGTTGTTAGCTATTTCTAAGTAAAATCATAAAATTCTTTCCTTATTCCTCACACCGGCACTGCCTTTGAATTTTCTAATTTTTGTTTTAATATCAGGTCAAAGTGGAGTTGGATAAGGATATTCTAATTTATCTTCTCTATTTCTAAGTAGTTGTAAAAGCCAATTCCCATTGTACAGATATATGGATACTATGGTAATAGCTTATGTACAGCTGCATCTGATGACTTTCTCTCCATGCAGAATTTCAATAGTATACAAAGTTTATATATATAATTACATATATATATATATATATGGAGCAAATTAAGCTAAGGAAAACATGGATTTCATGGCTACAATCATTTTAAAGTGTTAACCTCTTGGATATAATGCTATAGGAGATACTAGCGTGAGTGCCCAGCATTTTACATTTGTGGAAATTTTGACTCCTCTCTCACATGCATACACTGAAGTTTTGGTTTCAAAGAATAATCTTAAGAATCTCAGTTGATGCAATTATAGCTAATGGGAATTTGAAGACAAGAATTATTTGTTTGGCTATTTGTTTTGAAAGAGAGGGATTACTGTGGAGAACTGAGCTTCATGTTGTTTATATTTTGACTTATATTTTAAGAAGCATCAGATATTTTTAGAAACAGGAAGATAAAATTAGCTCACTTTCCCTTTGGAATTTTTTACCTGGCAAGAGACTGAAAATGGTGGTTGATGGTTAGAGAGAAATTGTAGAAGAAATTCTTCGTGACCCCTGGGAGACTCAGAGAAGAGAAGCTAGGATTTTGTGATACTTTGATGTACTTGAAATTAATTGCTTCCATTTCTTCCTTCATCCCTCCCTTCTTTTCCTTCCTTTGCTACACTTTGCCATCACTCATAGGCCTAGGCTAGTGTGACTTTTTGAATTAGAGTCTCTGGTGATTTTTGCACTTTCTCTTAATCACAGCTACAGTAAAGTAAACTCCCTGTACCCACAAACACTTACAAAGTTTCAGATGACTTCATTTCAAAAAAGTGTCCATTGTCTAAAGGCTGTGCACTTTGGTGATTTATGGCCAGCAGTTACAAGTCAGCCTCTGCCAGAATGGTAGAATTGCATGAAGTGGTGTAAGAGAAGGGGCCTATAATATCTGAGTATCTGACTATGGTGGCAGTGAGTATGAACTTAGGAGCCACTTGGTTTCCCATAAGGGATTGCTTGGACTGCTGATACAGTGTGATCCCAATAAAACTGGGAGTCTTGGCTTCAGTGGCCTTGAGTTTAAGCCCCTGAATTTCTCTGTAAATTTTTGCAATGTGTGTCATTTTCTGGAGCAAAGGCCTATTATTTTCATCAGGTTCATAAGGGTGTCTATGACCCCTTAAATTATTGCATACATCTTTTTGTCCTTATGATGGCATCCTGTAAAAAGGTGCATCTGCGGGAGGATCTCATAATACTGTCTCATTAATCTGTCATCGGTTTCAGGCAAAGCTGGTCAGTGACTGCTTCTCTATAGCCTCCTTAGGATAGAGCCCAGGCCAGGGCCTGGGTGCCTGTCCTTAAGCAGCACAGCTCCTGGCCCACTGTGGCCTCATCAGAACAGCGTCTGAGATGTCCACCATATGAGGAGGACACGGCAAGTGAGACCAGCTACACCTGGTTAGTGGAAAGGACCCAGGCACAGCAGGGGAAAGCAGACAAAAATGGAATTTTGCCAGGTCGGCCTGGCTATTGGAGGTCATTAACACAGATATTACCAAGCAATTCATATACTTTAAACTGCCGTTTAGCTGAAAACCAACAGCTTAAAAACCTAGACTTTAGCAATCATCAGAAAGACAGAGATGTTTATGTTCTTAATTAGTCTAACCATTAAATCTCATCTGGGGACTAGGTATAGTCGCATAGTGCAATCCAAGTTGGCATGTGACCTTCAGTGAATCATTTAATATTTTTGTACCCCATTTTCCTCATGTGTAAAATGCAGGAATTGGACCCAGTGACCTTGAAGTTACTGTATCTCTAAAGTGTTATAATTTTATGGAGTTTCCAAAAGAGCTAATTCATTACAAATCATCTGCTAATCATATTTTTAAATCTCCATTGAATTACATATACTAATTATTAAATCGAGCTCTAATTTTATTTGAAAAGTGTTTGAGGAACTTAGACTTTAGAAAATCCAAGCATAAGAAGTGTGAGAATTTTATATTCTGGTTAATAAAAATAGCTATGTAACTTAAATGTTTTTTTTGAAAAATTTTTTTACCTTGGTGCTTTTGTAAAAATACTGTTTTTTATATTATCAACTCATATTGGGGGGGAACCTGAAGAATAATCTGGCCCAATCCCCTTAGAGATAAGAAGTCTAAGAGCCAAACAGATCAAGTAACTACTACTCAGAAAAAAGAGAAAAGCAGTTTTCAGGAACACCTAGCTAATTTCACTCCTGATACAATGCTTTAAAATAATTTCTGATAAATAATATTAAAAAATAGACTAAGAAAAATCATAAAGATACTGCAAAATGAAATTCCTACATTTTTATTGGCCTGTTAAGCCTTGCCTAGTTACCTCAGCTAAATGCATTCTCTCTTTTTCTTGTAATACCGCATCATTTTGTGTTGCCTTAATGACACATTATAGCATATACTTTTATATGCATGCAATTGGGCTTCAGACCAAATGAAAGACACTGATGACCTCCTAATTATCAGCTTCAAGTAGAATCTTTTCCATGCCTTTCTTCATGACCTCTGACACTATTAGTGACTTATTTTTCTAAATTTTCCTCTTGACTTCCGGACAGTACAATTTCCATGTTAACTTCTGCCTCTCTCTACTTACCTTCTGGTGACCAGCTTTCTGACCTTTGATCATCTTGTTCTCTCCCTGCTCTGGACTGAATTGTATCCTCCCAAATTCACATGTTGAAGCACTAAGTCCCAAGCTGATGGTATTTAGAGATGAGACCTTGGAGATATAAATAGGTTGAGATGACCTCCTGAGGGGGATACCCTCCTGATAGGATTAGTGCCTGTGTAAGAAGAGACCTGGGAGAGCTTTCTCTCTCTCTCCTCCGTGTAAGGATGAAGCCAGGAGGTGGATGTCTGAAGCCAAACAGAGCTCTCACCAGAAACCAAACCCTGTCAGAAACCCAATCTTGGACTTCCCATACTCCAGAACTGTGAGAGAATTAATTTCTGTTGATTATGCCATCGGCCTAAGGTGCTTTGTCCTGTCAGCCTGAGCAGACTGATGACTCATCTACTCTTCTTATCCACCCCTTCATCTCGATTTTACTTTCCTACTTTTAGACCAAAGTCAATACATATAGGCTGTCATGCAACTATTAATTAAATATTAGCTATTACTATAACAGAGTATAAAGATATAAAGATTTTGCTCAAATGGATTTGCTGGGGAAAAAATTCAAACTT